TGGTTTTCTTCATTTGGTCGACCAAGAAACACTGGAACAAAGGTAAATCAGTGAAAAATGCAGATAGTCACGAAAACAAAATATTCCATGTTATGTTGACCAACTGAGATCAAACCAGTGACCTGCACAGTATGGCACACACAGTGTAATCCAGATTTATTGAACCCTTGATTTTTCGAACCTTCTGATCTGACTCAATCCAAAATGTCTTTTCCCCTACCCTCAGTTGACACAGTAGTTTCACCCCTGATTTCTTGAACTACACGCTTTTTCAAACCAATTTTCATTTTCCTTGGAGGCTCAAAAAATAAAGATTCCACTGTGTAACTAGATTCAGTTGCAGCAGACTCTCTACATACTGCTACATGTACACTGTAATACAGTAGCCGAGGAAAAAAATGATCAGTTGTCAAATTTGACATTAAAAGTACATGTAATTATTGGTTTTGTTGATGCTCTAGTTACATATTTTTCATGTATGTTGAGAAAGACAACTTAAAGGAGCTCAGTCACGCTTTGCGCATATTGAAAAGTTTAGCCTCGAGTTTTCAAATTCGTCATTTGTAATCTGTGTCAATCTTCTCCATCCTTAGCCATCCTGGTTCCTTTATGGTTTATCATTATCTCTTTGGTGTTTTTCTATCTTATTAAACTGTTATTTTCAGGTTTCCTACCATTCAATAGTAATTTTGTATGTGGCCAAAATAACTCAAAATACTGTGACTGAGCCCCCTTAACATTGGAAAAGTGGAAATAACTTTCAAATTGAGCTCTAGAATAACCCAAATGTTTATTATTTTATTGTGCCAGCTTTTCAACATATCGGGCCATGTGAATCATCCATGTACAGTTGAGGAAGAGATGTCTGTTCCAATAAAGCTTGTGATTGAAAAGCATGCTGGAGGAGTTCTTGGTAAGTACAGTCATGTTTCTACAAGGGGAAAAAATGTGCCATTTTCTGTACATGCTCATAAAATATTGAGTACCTTTGACATCAACTATCGATGATGATTGCACTAGTTCATAGCACCAGTAAGTTGTGCTTTATAGGGTTTTGGTTACTGACAAGAGTTAATAACTAACTAAGAGATCTTATCTGTTCTCTTGGTAGGTGGCTGGGACAATCTTTTGGCCGTTATTCC